CTGCAGATACATCTTTTTAAGCCATTCTGCCCCTCAGCTCTTTCCTCCCCTCAGCTCTCATGATACTCTGAGATCTGGAGACTTAACACTGTTAAAGAGAGCTGCACTTGACAGTGTGAAGTATCTCAGGTGTGACTTGTATCCGTGAAAAACCATGTACACAGAAGTACATTTTTAAAGAGAGACCAGTATTTGTTTTCAGTGAACCTCCGGAATCTGCATCTTCCTAAAATCAGCAGAATTTTCTTGAGACCCACTATCCCTGCATTGCTCAGTGCAGAGCTGAGTCATCCTTCATCTATTTTAGTTGAAATATTTTGTTAGAGAGCTGTTTGCTTCCCACTAGCACTTGGGGTTTGGGGGCAAAACCGCCCGTGCCATACACACATATCCCATGTGTAATTCTTCATGGAAAGTATAACTCCTCAGAAATACAGTTTTGTTTTGTAGGAGTTTATAAAGTGTGATTCAGAATTCCTTACATGACTAATGTTGTTTTTAAAATGTTTTCTGTCAGAATTGGTGTAGAACTGCAATTCTATTTTGGCAAATAATGGCAATGGCCTTTATTTTTGTTTTGAGCCTGTATTAATTTAACATCTGAAGTTAGTTTGTAAAAAGAAAGGTTATTTGATAAGAACTTTTCCCCCCACGGCATGTGTTCTGGGGTGTGTGTTTTTATTTTGGTGGGCTTGCACCTTGGGAGTAGAGATTCCAGCTGAACAGATCAAGTTTCTGAAACAATACGTTTGCTCAGACTTCATGGAATTGTTCTGTTACATTTACGCTTGTTTGGCTCCGAGGCCAAATGCTGAGGTATTTTTCATTTTATATTTGTTTTCACAGGGATCTTAGCAACATCAATTGTGAAGAGCTTGGTCCACTGCCTCCTGGATGGGAGATCCGAAATACAGCAACAGGGAGAGTTTATTTTGTTGACCATAACAACAGGACAACGCAGTTTACAGATCCACGGCTGTCTGCTAACTTGCATTTAGTCTTAAAGTAAGTTTAAAGTCTCCAGCGCATGTTGAGTATAACAGAGGAAAGAAAGTGACTCTTGAGAGGTGCTGGATTTTATACCAAGACATATGCTGCCATTCAGTAGTATTTAAAGTATAGTAGCAGTGTTCTTTAACAACCTACCAACTTATTGAGTTACATAGCAAAGACGACAGGTATGATTGTTCTTGGGAGTGGGGGGAACAAATCTGTAGCAGCATTTAGGCAGGAATGTGGCTATTGTGATGCTGGAGTTGCAGACAGCAGTGGGGGAAGCAAGTGCAAGAGAGACCCTTTCTTTTCTGTTCTTTATACTTCATATTACTTTTAGTTAGGGGGAACTTGTTTTACAATATGAGGTTGCATTCAATAGTGTGAAATACTGACAAGTTAGGCAAGGGTGCACAAGTGCCCAACTGTTCTCCTGGTATGAAGGAGAAATAAAATTGGGTTCTACCTTCAGTTTTATAATAAGACCAGTTGAGATGTTCTCAAAGTAAGACCCCAATAATTTAACTCAGATATTTTACAAAATGAATAAAATACTTTTCATTTTGATATCACATTTTCATATTGCACTTCTAAAAAGGGGAAACTCAAAAGAATTCTGGCTCTTGTTTTTATTCCCTTGGCACTCATTTCACACTGGGGGATTTTCTACTAAAAATGGAAATGAAAAAGCAAACAAACATTTCTTTTTGCCTAGACATGGCTATCTCTTTGTCCAGGCTGCTTGGGAGTTTGACTCTATTGTTTCTCCCACTAACACCTTTTAATACTCTTGGGAAACACCTGTAAAGTATTGAGTAGGTGTTAAGTGGGAGAAACAATAAAGAGTTGCTTAGGTAGAAAGCCATGCAGCCCTGGGCAAGGAGTAAGTAGGAGCAATAGTCCTTCTAAGGAAGTGAGTCATTGGGAAGAAAAGCTGAAGGAAATAATGGGAACAAGCACTGAAAAGACAAAACCAAGGAATGGAAAGTAATATCCAGGAGGTAAACATATCTTTTGTGTAATACATAAAAGCTGGCTAGCCTTTGTCTGCCCAATATACATTTGAACTTAACACCCCAAGAGGACAGTCTAAGTATTGACAAATATGTATTTTGTTTAGACAAATCATTAGTTATAAATGTGTGAATTACAGGACTTAAGTAATCTCCCATTGTCCAGACACTTCTGGTTCTTTTATTTATTATTAGGAATAATAATAATATTTTTTAAATATAAGCTAAAGAAATCGCTGCTAATTTTAGGTGCATTTAGATTGGTAGTTTCAAGTGAACATGATCTTGGGAAAAAAATCTTGCTACTGGAGGAAGCATGTTCATGTTTGAACCACAGAAAAGTTGATTACATTAATTCAGATTTAGATATTTTACCCAAAGAAAAACTTCAGACCCTCTTAGCTACAACAGTGCAATTCCTAAACTGTAGAAAATTGAGTTAATTGGATTATATTGGAGTAACTGTCCTTCACAGGTAGGTTTCTTTTTAAATGGCAGGAGGGTCGGAGTGGCTAATTCTGCATGTGTAGTGGAGGGAAA